ACACAATACAAACACATGTACATTTCTATATATGTGAAGCGCGAAGTTTCGTAAAGAAACTGTGAGAAAAGGGAGAAGGAGAGAAATTATTGCCAAGAATTGAAGACACTGAAGTAAAAGTAGATTGATGTTTCTATATAGGATTTAAGTCTAATATGGCACTGATGTGCAATAAATACAGGAACATGAGTATTTAGTCATCCTTTAAGAGAATTTATTTACCAGTTTTAACTATCTTATTGAATTACATCAATATATATCTTCCAAAAAAAAACTTCTGTAAATTATTACACTTTCTTATCTTTACAATGTTGCATTTACACGGCATATAATAATTGAAATAGCTTATTAACTAATTGTTAAGGACCAGTTTGTACAGTATGGAAATAAATGTTGCAATAGAAACGAGATTGATCCTACTTTCATGTTCAATGCCTTCAATTTTTGCGTCCAATTAAGATAATATTCCATCGCTATATTGTTGAGATCTTTATTATTTTGTAAAATATATAAAATATATTCATTGCGATATTGCGTCCGATCTTTGTAAACATAGATTAACGAGCATAAGTGGTTAGCGTATGTATATGCGACGCTTCCATAACATGAGATTATGTAAATTTAAAATTGTAAATAACATATGTGTATATGTGTGTGTATGTAGATATGTGTGTGTGTGTGTATGTATATATATATATATATATATATACATACATACACATACATACACATACATACATATATACATATATTCAGGCACATGATCCATGTATGCGTAATCGCGAAAAAATATGCTTTTATGTTATTTTGCAATGGATTTCGATTGCATCAAGTTTTATATCCACTTTTTTGTTTTAGTATCTTCTGTCTTCTCTTGTTTTAAGAGATATATAAAGATTTTTATATTTAAACATAAATTCTAGATTTTTTATGTTAATTCACTCTAACATCTAAGCTATTAAACGTGTGCCAAAAATCGTTAGAACTTTCAATATCTAAACAATCCTTTTATTCCTAAAGCGATATTGATTTTTGTCATCGCACATTGACCTTTGAATATTCAATTACACGCGCGTGCGCGCGCGCGCGCGCGCGCACACACACACACAAAACTATAATTATTTAAGTATAATTTCTCTTCATAAATACGTAGCGTATGATACATTATAATAGACGCAAATAAATGTCCTTAATTTTTAACTTTATATCTTACACACATTACCATTGCAGAAAAATAACTGATATCTTCTTTTTAAGTACACCATTCACATAAGAGACGTGCGTGCATGTTGACCATGACATATTCTATTATAAATTACACGCCGCGAGATTAATGCCGGTATTATTTTATTAACCGCGTATTTTTTCTTTGAGCTTTAATTACTCCTTGCGCTCCCAAGTGTGAATGATTATATAATAAAATTATGACCGGATTGTGCAAATCTCGTTTGCAACAATTTATTACTCAGATGTTAATGCAGAAGAGATATCGCTCATCTAAATTCGATTGAATTTTACAAGCAAAGACATACTGAGCTCTCTTAATAAGGGAGGGGAGAATAGAGAGTATATATTTAATAAATTAAATATATTAAATTGGAAAACAGAATTTGCCAATTTTGTTTCAGAGAAAGGAATAAATGGATACAGTTCTGTATTTAGATGATAGTTCACTTTGAGTATTTTAGATATAGAAAATTAATTTGTAATACAAAAATTATAGAAGTTTTTTGTCATTGAAGACAGGCCCGAAAATTTCAAGTTTTGCCGTGAGATTCCATAACTTTTAAACAAGTAATCCACTAGTAATCTATTTTCTGATCTGATTTTCTTCAGGACACTTTGCTCTACAGAATAAACTTGAAATAGATTATTAGAAAAATGTCATTACAAAATGGTTTTACATAAACATAGAGCTCTAATTTTCGCATAGAAATTGACGGTATTTATGTGCTATCATTTTTTAATAATTTTTCTACGTCTATTTTAGATTCAATCTGTAGAATATCCTGAGAAAAACTAACAGATTGCTTTATTATCAAGGAATTATGACAAAACTCGAAATTTTTCGATCTATAATAGTATATACACAGAGAACTATATTTTTAATAAATTTCGAATTACAAATTAATTTTCAACATCTCAAATATAATAGGTAGTAAATAACACCTATCCCTCTATTCTTTTCCCTAAAACAAATTCGCAAATTTCGAACTTAATTTGATCACACACAAACCTCTTTATTCCCTCCTGATAATATATAACTTGCGTGCTCGCGTAACAAACTGATTTAGAATATTTCTGCATCACGAATACCAAACATTTCAACATAAATTTTTTCATCAACAGTATACGCCGCGAATTGCCGTATTTTCATTCCGCGATGTCTAATCCAGGTCGAGTGAAGATAAACGCGTTTCACAATGCACGGCGTTCCGGTGAGTGACACGCGATTCTCGATTAACGCGACTATTATTCGCACCTTTGGACAATGATCGGTCTGGAAGGTGAACCGCGAGGACTAAAGACGGCCGTGATTCAATCAAATTCATTAACCTCACGCTACTCCCACGCGAAATTCATGGTCGCGCAGCGTCATGTTCTCAAAACCGACTCGTTTCCAGGTACAGACGCTCGATACCGAAAGCATTAATTGTTTCGCTGCCGCTTAAGTTAAATCGGAAAATATAAATTATTTGATTTCAGTGTCTGCGCAAACACTTTATAATGTTAATTGATTCATCCGTTCATTCCAGAAACGGAGGAAATGTTTCAATATAACGCATAACTTATGCACGACGTGTACGCTTCAGGAAAGACACGGAAAGACTGCAGCTTCCCGAATGTACTTCCCCGCACGTTTTATTTTTATCTGCTTGATACAAGGAATTATTCGCCATTTATTTTGGTCACTACAGTGCGGTGCAACGCGAAATAAGACGTCGAGATATTGAAATATCGGTTTTCACTACAGATTATCATTTCAACGAATAAATTCTTCTCCTCGGCTTATCGAATAAAATACATAAATATTTACAGAAAGAATACCGTTCTCGTTCTCTTTTTTTTTTTTTTTAAGTATGCTTGCGCGAGCAAAAAAATTACAGAGAAAAAAAATAAGTTAAATGGCTATTATTTCATTCTGGTCACGTTTTAGTCAAACGAGCATGCTTGTTTTTCAAGATTTGATATCTTGATTCGGAATGCCAAAAAGCTGTCAGAATGACACACTATGATTTATCGGTGATTCAATTTGAAATCCTTTATCCGTTTCCACAATTTTTCTTTTATTTCAAAACAAAGAAAAGTGAAAGAGAGAACTGTGTTCCGAGAACACTTAGCAGATTAAACTGACACATCTCGTAATTCGCGAGACGAGGTTGCAACAAATTTTAAATAAAGAAACTGTTGCATGTGAAGCATGTAAATGGAAACTTTAGTCAATATGTACCTTTCATCATCGTTAAATGACGTCAGGCTTAGATAAAAATTAAATTATATCGATTCTTAAAATCATTAACGTCATTTTGTAATTTATTGCCACTGTCGAAAGAGAACGTACTCTTCGCGAACGAGTGATCGCTGTAAAATATCTTTATTGATATCTTGAGAGATTACAACACCAAGATTAATTGATACACACGTGCGATTTATGCATGCGAATTTTGTATTTAATACAAATTTATTTTTTTTCATAAAATATATTTTACATCCCTTTCCTTTTAAATTGAAATTGTACAATGGAGAGTGTATCTTTTTGAAGAATTCAAAGTACGAGGATGAATGCCAGACATCTTCTGTCATAAAGCAAAGCTACGTCAACGAGTAGATTGACGATTGTTACCTAACTCGAATAATACTTAAATATGTGCTAGACGTATAATAGAGGAAACATTAAATCGATTATTTATTCGTAGAATAGAATATATGTGCTATAAAATAAGTTGTTTAGCAAAGCAAAATGTAATTTCTGTACTAAACTTTGATGTAGATCCGTATTAACACCTCGCTCTTGTCGATAAACGCGCGTATTTTTAACGCATATAATTTAAATTACACACATAATCTCAGAAATAAATGAACAATTATCGATAAAAAAAAATAAAGTGTGAATACAAATCTTATATAATCTTCCGGCAAAATGAAGATTAGCTAATCATGCGCGATGTTTATCGAATATTTCGATAAAAGTTCAGATATGACATTCAGTCTGCCAAAGGAATTATCAATATCTTGAAATAATATAAATTAATTGTTATCATTGCGATGAAAATACTTATTAAATCTTTGAAATTTCAAGCATCATTCATCGATAATGGAGTAAATTAAAGAATTAATATATAATCGTTAATATATATAATAGCTAATCAGTAATCAAAATAATTAATCTTTAATCGATATCAGACCTGTCCAATTTGATCTCAAAACGATGATCTAGATCTAAATACTATGTTCTACATTTTACATTAGATACATCCAACGTACCATTAAAACATTTCTGTATTTTTACGTTACATTGCTTCAAGGAAATCCTTCAAAATATTGTTTTGTGCAAACATAAAACAAGCGAGACTAATCATCACGAAATAAATGCGCATAATATCCTTGTAATAACTTGATAAATCCTAATCTGGTTAAAATTATGCTTAATTTTTTCTGCTTTTTCCAAAGTGGAAGACTAAAGAAAAAAAAAAAACAAAAAAAAAGATACGGAAATAAATTTGATTAATGCCCCATTAATCAAATTTATTAAACAAGTGCGCGAAAGTATCGCGCGTACTTGTCCTTATCCTACTTGTGTGTACATTGGAAAAAAAACTTGCTCGGCACAAGTAAGTGTTTGCCCTCTGACGCGTACAGAAACGCGA